TTACCTTTGTTTTTTTTTTTTTTTTTTTAAATCAGCAGACATCTTTAAATTCCTCCTGCCTTTTCTCCCCATTTTCCCATCTTCCTCCTCCACCCCAACCTGAGTATATGGCATAGTGTAAACAAATAATAAAGAAAGGAACATACTTCTAGCCCTTTTGTCATCTGTTCCAGGAGTTTCTACTTGCAAGTTTTTAAGAACTGGGCTAGTTTGCTGTTTTTCAGATTGGTCAATATTCTGTTATTTGCATCAAAGTGCGTGTTTGGACTGTGGTTTGAGGGTTGATGTTTTTGTCCTTTTAACCACAAAGATACAACTGTAACCAATGGAGCCAGTGGTTTTTGACTCCAATCTTGTGATAACCTTTCAATGCATGATGCATGATGGTGCCAAGAGTCTAGGGCCAAGGAATAAAGATGAGGACATTCTGGGTCTCGCACTTTTTAATAATTAAAGGTGCAACACTTTAAGGTGACGTATCCTGTATGACATATGACCTTCCCAATTCCTGTTCATCAGAAGCATGTCTGCTTGCTTGCTTGTATGGATTCCATACTGCAATACAAGAGATTTGCAAGACGAATTTCCATGTACGATAATGGAATCACGCCATTCTCAGGCTGCTGCACACAGACCTGACTCCCAAAGTTTGCAGTGTTTGGTTTTAACATGAAAGCCAGCATAAGACTTGACCAAAACCAAGATGCAATCCACAGTCCTTTTCCCAGAGTCACCTAAAGCATAAACATAAATACAAGCATAGTGGAGCAAAGCTCACTACCAATCTTAAAACATTGTTAAAACACCAATGGTAGAAGTGGACTGATTAAATTCGCTTCGAAACAAGCAGAAATAATAATAAAAAAAATCATTCATATAAGAGAAACTAGAAGAAAAGGAAGAAGTTCTTGAAGTAGTCAGCCCTGTTTTAAATTCCCGTCCTTCCAAAAACATTATCCAAACTCCCACTGACTCCAACAGGTGCGTAGACTGGCCCAATCCTGACTTGCCTTTGAAAATCTTACCCAAATTTGATGACAAAACACGTGGTTCAAACCAGCATCTCTGATCAGCAACAAGAATACACGGGCCATTTCAGCTGCTGCACTGCAAAATTGAGAGAGAAAACTTACCAGCATGAGCCTTGAGTATATGGGTTTTCAGGCGACTGTTATAAGAGGACTTGAATGGGCACAATTTGCAACGGAATGGCTTATGGTGTCCGTGATGGGTCTGCATATGACGATCCAGACTTGAAAAGAGAAAGACAGAAAAGGGAAACGCAAAAGAGTAAATCATTTCAACTATTCCTTCAGATGCAAAGCAAAACACTTAACAGCAATAAAAAATTATATAAGAGGCAGACCAGGCTCAACTATCCTTTCTCATACTCTCTCTTAAAATTCAATATGTCTGCTTACAGACTAAAGTAGAATCTAATCTGAGGAAAAGGAGCAGAGCTGACACCAATTCTGTTGTGCAGAAAGCAAGCCACTTAAATAAACTTAGAGGGCAAGATTAGTATAAATTACATTATACCTGATCCAGACTTAAAGAACCAGTTGAAGAAACAGGAAACAGACATGAACAGTAAAATTATCATTACATAATTTTTCTCCTGGCAAACATTTTTGTGAAAATATGCTCCCTTTTGTCCTGTTGATTAAGAGTGTGGGGGGGAAGTATTTTTGACCAGCTTTACTGAGGAAGCCTTCTTTTGGTTACAGCAGCAAAAGCAGATTAGAGATCCTGCTCTGGGGAGGGTACCAGCAGGCTGCAGTTGATGAGTTCCAGGATTAAAAGGCAGTAGAGTTTCAGAAGTAACAGTGTGGGAGATTCTGCATGAAGCTCAACAAGAGAAGAAGGGGTGGCAAAGACCAGCCTCTACTTTCTTCAGGGAAACTGGAAGCTACCAACAGCCCGAATACTGGGGGCTGATCAGAACCTGCTCTCTCTCCACAGTTTGTCATTAACAGCTCAGTAAAGTTTGGAAGGGAAAAAATGATGTTTTCCACATTTTCTAACAGAAGATCAAATTCATTCTATCTGAGTGAGTCCTGCAGAGCTCTGCAATTCCTACACTGTGGCTGACAGCTATGAATTCACAGTCTCTGGGTGGCAGGCAGGTAGTTTCAGCTCAGGCTGTAAACGTTTCCAGTACAGCCTCTTCTTTGGACACATTCATCATCTTATGCATGGTGATGGAACAACAACAGGGCAGATACAGCACACTGGAGGCGTGGCAATTTGCCAAAACTACCCCCCACCTGCCACCTTAAATCTAGATGTATTTCAGCATATTACCTTTTACTTTTCCTTAGTTGTCCTGTTCTGTTTTTACTGAATATCAACACGTAGATCAAGTGGCAGTTGTTCCAGCCCTCTCACACTACACAAGATTGTCACGGGATCTTTAGTCCCACACTAACAAGAGCTTGAGCCAGAAAATCCCTGTTTACGAGAGCTAACACTGAAGTCTGTGTATTCAAACATCTGATGACAGCAAAAAAAATAAAAAATGAACTCATGCCTCTTCTCAGGGCTGCTTCATGCAAATACAATTTAATAGAAATCTGGGATGGAGTTTGTGACAAGATAAAATGTACAACTTTTCCAGAGATATGGGAAAAAAGTCTCCTAAATGAGTATGACATTGAACACTTGCAGTGAATACTTCATAGAACAAAACTTGTTTTAAATAGATGACAGGAAATGAGCTTACTGAGCAATTAAAGCAGAGTGCCAAATATTTATATAATACATATCAAGCTATTCTAAATATATATCCTAAGGTATTCTACACAGTAATAATTAAAACTATATTCACAACCACATACTTTGCCAGCAAAATTCTTCCAAAGGCAGGTTTTTAAGTTTTGGTCAGATTTGGGAGAACAGTGGGCTGTTTAAACATTTGGTTTGTTTCTTTCACAGACTTTATCTCCCAAGAGAGTAATTGCATCAGAAACAAAAATAAAAGATGAAGCAGACAACTTTAACAACAGCTACAACACCTATTATCAAGTTAGGTGATACCTGTAGAGTTCTTCCCTGCCATCCACCACTTTCTGACTTACCCATCCTTCTACTTGCAGGACACGACTTTATTCGCTTCCTAGGTAGGAAACAGAGTGACTAAAGACCAAACTCAACACAAGTCTGATTTTGGAAGCAAACCAGTTTACTAGGCAAACAGCAGGTTCTGTAAGCTATGTGAGGTAGGGGCATCCCCCACAGTCAGCCTTGCCAAAGCAGGGTGGGATATACCCAGTAGTACCCATCCTTCCCCCAGTCCCTTTCTTACTGTTGGCTGCTCAATCCCACGGACCTCTTCTGCAAGGCAGACCAAACTGCGGCATAATTTACAATGCTGTGACACTAGCAGAAATCTTGCTTTTTAACATAAGGAGTTAAAAAATGCTTTTTATCATGCTTTCTCTCCCACATGCATTTGATTGCAAAACGGTAACATCTTCACCAAGTTTAAGAGCGCTACTGACAGTGCTATGAATGCCTACATCAAATGAGCACCTGGACCTCTCTTCTTTTGTTAAAACAGTAAATAAGCAGCTCTCTCCGCAGAAATTAGAAGAAACATGTACCTGTGAGTCAGTCCAGGATGCCAGTGGAAAATATCCCACAAACCCCATTTTTGGGGGGCATGCCACATATATATGATTATGATTAAAATAATTTTAAAAACTACCCAGCTTAAGGCAAAGTCAACCTTAGGAAAACAAGTCATAAGAAATGTGACTATTAATGATGACTATGTATTTTTCACATGCTACATCAGACAAGGAAACAGGCTGAGGGAGTCACTAGTATACCACACTGGTGTGAACTTGAAATATTTGTAGACTGAAATTGCATACCATCATTAAGAAAAGAAAAAAAAAAAAATCTAATTTTAAGGTAATTTTATGACAATTATTTAAAATTAGAAATGAAAACTCAATCATCAAAGAGTTGTAGTAATTATAAACAAGGTAGTTATATGCAGCAGAAATTCCTTATATATGAAAGATTAACAAGGAAAATACTTTTCTCTCCTCTTCTTGGCTTGTTAAGTCTCATGCATTTGACAAAGTTGCTTAAGTGGTGGCCTTCACTGTTTGCCTACTGAAAGAAGTCTTACTCTTTTGCTTGCATGCTTTTCCCCTACATGCAAAAAAAAAGGGCTTAAATAAATTCAAGAAGATATAAAGATGCAACCTTTTACAAATAGCCACTCATAATGGCCAAAGATTTTGCAGCATGGAAAACACCTAAATACTGAGAAAAGTGTTGCTCAAGATCAAGTTCAGTGCGCTCTTCTTCAATGTTAACCTACAAAACAGTAGTGCTAGTTTGTGCTTCTTTTGAAAACAACAATAAAAGCCACAACTTACTTGTGCCTGAAAGCAGAGACAAAGGAGCAATACTGGCAGCTGTACTTGTCTTCCCGGGTAAACATGGCCAGAGCCAAGTGACTCCTCTCGTGAGATCGCAGACCCTGCATAGACATCAAAACCCGGTCACACTGGCTGCAGTGGTAGCCCCCAGGCCTGGTTTCATCTTCCAAGGATGTTCCAGATTCAGCTTCTGTAAATTCCACAATGCCAGGGTCTTTGGCTCCCTCACAACCCTCCATCAAAGTTGTGTTTGAAGAATCTTCAGCTTCCTGCTAAAAAACACATACCCCCCCAAAGCCATGAATTCTCTCTCCCTTCTGCCCCTCAGCCTTTCCCATGTGTTTATTATAATGCCTAGGTTTCCCACTGCATTATTTTTCTAAATATATCCCTACACAAACTCCACATCAATGGCTTTCTGAAAAAAGGGCCTACTCTTGGAGGGAAAAATGTAATTATATCTATTATATACATACATGCATATGTAAAAAAAAGAATCTTACTCCTTGATTATATTTGTGTCAGATAATGCAAAAAGCCAAGAAACTGAATCTACTATCTCTCAATAGTCTTGATATGAATCTTCTAAACTTCATCAGATAAACATTAGTAAGGTATAGAGCAAGTTCATTTTAGTTTATTTTGCTCTAGCTTACAGTGTAGCTACTCTGCAGACCAATACAGTAGTCTAGTCTACAGTAGACTTTGTCCATCACTGTCAAATTCACAAGAAGGAAGCCGGTACTCTAAGACCCTAGAATCCTCTTTAAAAATAAAAAGCAAACAGAAAAATGCTTGGCCTTTCCTTTCCTTTCCTTTCCTTTCCTTTCCTTTCCTTTTTCCTTTCCTTTCTTTTTTCCTTTCCTTTCCTTTTTCCTTTCTCCTTTCCCCTTTCCTTTTTCCTTTCCTTTCCTTTCTCCTTTCCTTTTTCCTTTCCTTCCCTTTTCTAACCAGATCGTGCATTTTTGCAGCAACTTTAATAACCTATAAGAGTATTTCCATCAGATTCTTTTGGCCATGGATTTCTGCTTTTGTTCCCTGCTGCAAAATTTCTATTTACTCAAAAGAAAGCATTGACCCTACATAAACTTCACTTGAGAAGCAAGGAGAAGATGAAATGATCTGTTAGGAGGGAAGCATCTGAATCTGTCAGGTAAGGTAATCTTACCAGGTAAGGTAAAGGAAGGCCAGTGGTAGGGCAATGAAAGCTCTCTCAGGCAGCGTGAGTTAGGCTATGAAGGACTCGGCTTCCTCACAAGCAGACGATGTCACAAAAGAAGCACCCTTAGGCAGGCAGCAGGAGTCTTTGCCAAGAGCTCACTGCAGCACGAGGAGGAATACACAGCCAGTTCCCACAGCCTTGTTGCACTTTCATTACCCCTGCCGATATCCTGGAAATAGGGCTGTGGCGCATGGCCTATCCTTGGAGATGTCCTAGAAGGCATCCCCTTTCACAGGGAGAAAGGAACAACACATTTACACCTGATCACCTGAATGGGACCACTGGCTCAGCTGGCCATTGAATGTTTTGTTTGGAGCCAGTGTGCAAATTTCATGTGGAAAGGTGTACCACAAGCAACTTCGCACATTTGCATGTGCACACTTCCTCTTCTTAAAAAAAAAAAAAAAAAAAAAAAAAAAGGAAAACAAGCAGCTCTTTTAGGGTTTAACTAAGCAGAAAAGTAGCCCAGAATAGCTGAGAGAAAGCCTCCTGCTCATAAACCAAGTCTTTCGGTCATCAACGACATCAACTCCTTTGTGGCTGAGAAGAAATGAGAATTAAATAGTCTTCGTGCCCCTGGATCAAGAGTGGAAAAAAGTTAAAACATCTTAAAATAAACCAAATGCACTTCAGAAACTTAGTGTTAGATTAAAACATCATGCTGAACTGGAATACCCAGCTCAAAACCCATTCAACTTCACAAGAGCCCTCCATAGGTTTTCAATGAGTCCTTTATTTTAAACAATGCAAGAAGGTGCAGTCACCTTCAGTCACCTTTTTAAAACTCTTACCTTTACTGTAGCTGACACAGAAGAGACATTCCCATACTGGACGTGCTTGCGGAGGTGATTACAGATGGCTCGAAGTGTTGGATGGACTTCCACACAAAATTTGCATTTGTAGCCAACCACCTTCCTCTCTTTAAGTTTTGAAACATCTTCCAAGTGTCCAAAAGCCTGTTTGAGTACACAAGCATAAATCACTGAACTACGCTTTGTTATCTCATTTTTAGGAACACAGACCAGATTTTACACGTGAAGGGAAATTATGCTTGATGTATACATGTCCTGTTTTGCAGAACTGCAAGGTCAATTTTTGTTGACGTCTATTAATGCCTCCAGAATAAGTGGATATGACATCTGTGCAGGAGAAACCTTCAGTTTCTGCATAACAGTGGTCCTCTAGAAGACCATTCAGTTTGGCCTGAAACTGCACTCTTCCATGACACCACAACTTCCCCAACAGCTGTGCGAAGCTTTTCCACAGGAAGTACATTTCAAATTGAAGCAGAAGGAAGGGGGTAAGTGGGCAAGAAAAGGAGCACAATTTGGTCTTCTGCTTATGAAGCACTTGCCCAAAGCTTCAGTCACCAGATAGACTCATGTCATGTTAATATTGCGTGCTTAATCAGAGAATGTACTGAGAGAGAGAGAAGGTTGTGAAGGAAACTGATCTGTTATTCAGAGGTACACTGAAGAGGGGGATGGGACATTTTGTAAAGAATCTGCAACAAAATACATGGCAGCCTTGCCACAAAAGACCAAGTAACTGTCAGATACAGATGGCCTTCCAGAAGGGTGGGAGGAAGGAAAGGAAATACTGAAGGAAGCAGTAGGAAGGAGCAGGGCTTCCTACAGAACCTAGGGAGATGTGGAGGATGGATGAGGAAATTAAAGCAGAATGTGTAATTGACTCATGGAGCTCACTGGCACGCTGAATCATTCATTAGCCTGTGGTCATTTGGCTGTCAAAGAAAACATGCAAGTGGGCATTAGTGGGCTCCCTGGCAGGGAGCAGGGAAAGAGACCAGACACACAAATCCTTACCCTCTCTTGTTTGAAATCTGCAAAAGCACCATCTGCATATTTCTGCTTGCTCAAAAGCTGCTTCCTCCTCTCCTGACGTTTGGCACGCTTCTGGAATTCCTCATTGTGGCCATTCAAGTGTGCGGTCAGCTCTGCCGTGCTATGCAATTTCGTATCACAGTGCTTGCACTGGTAGACAGGGTTCTGAGAGCGGGTGCCACTTCCCAGTATGGTAAAGTCCCTCTTCAAATCCTTGCTGTGGTGATCGGTGTAATGCATGCACAGCAGCTCTGCTGTGCTGAAGGACAGCTTGAAACATTTTATGCACCTGAAGGGAAGCCACTCAATTTCCTGAGCCTCAGTCTCCACCTCAGGCTTTTCAAAGTCATTCCTCTCCTCGGCTGCAGTTGGCTTTTCATGCTCATCGGCATACACAGCAGTGAAGTAACCCCCCAGCTTGCTCGCATGCTGCTTCTTAGGGAAAACACCAGGGTGACGCTTCATGTAGTGTGACACAATACCCTTTTTGCTGAAGGACTGGAAGGAACAAAGCGAGCATTTCTTCTTCTCTACAGCCCTCCTCAGTTCCTCACTTAACTGAGGAGTGTCATCCTTGGGAGGAGATGGAATGATCACTTTATTGGGTTTGTCGCTTACCGTCCTGGAGGCTGCTAAGCAGTGAGTGTAGTAAGCATCAATGTCATGTCTTTTCTGGTAGTGTGCCGCAAGCCCTTTGCGGATAGGGTTGGTGTACGAACACAAAGCGCATTTGAAGAGGTTGTTCTTGCCCTCTGGCTGTGCCCGGACGTTGTTATGTTTGATGCGGTAGTGCCTAGCTATCCCCTTCCGGGTGGAACAGAAGTATTTGCAGAGCTGACACCGGAAAACTGTGTGAGACACTAAATGAGAACTGGAGAAATGAGGTGCTGGCACAGAGACTTCTCCAACATCCTCAGCAGCAATTTCTGGGGAGGCCTTGATTTCAGTCACCATGTCTGGCTCCACTGAGGCAGACACCTTTGGTGGTGACTGGGCAAAAACATCAAATTCAGGTTGATTGTGGTATTTCTCATAGTGAATTTTCAGCTTCTCAAGTGTTCCATGGGTGTAAGGGCACAGTTTGCACCGATAAGCACCATAGCCTTGCTTGAAAATCCTACTTGTCTCTTCCACGTCATTCTGAGCAATATCATTTGACTGCTCCACATCATGCACAAAGTCTTCTGCAGTGACCTTTATTGATGGGTGCCGTTTCTGGTAGTGTGTGAGAACGCCATGAATACGTGTATTAATGTATGGGCAATGTCTGCACTTATATACAGCCCCTGGGTTAATATCTATATCCTGAGCAAAGTCCGCAGCTTTCACTTTCATGCCAGGATGCTTTTTGCCATAATGTGTCAGGAGGCCATGCAAGTTGTTGTACTCAGACTGGCAAACTGTACACTGATATGGAGTGGAAGAGATGGCAGGGTTTGCAGAAGCCAACTGGACACTTTTTTCCTGGGAAAGGCTGGCATCCTCTGCACACTCTGCATCCTGATCCATCTGTGATGTTATCTGGTCTTCAGAATCCATCCTGGCCCCAGGTTCATCGGGCTGTGGGATCGATTTCTCAGCAGCATCTTTCTCCTTAATGATATCTAACAACACAGATTCATCTCCATTCATGGCCCAAGGGTGAAATGCTTGGTAGTGATTAGTAATATCCCAAATGGAAGATGCTTCAAAAATGCAGTCTCTGCATTTATAGGTCTTTATCTCTGTTGGCATCACTAGGGCAGGAGGGGAAGGATCAGGACCTGCCCAGAGTTTAGTTGCCATATATGTGTAGTCAACATAATGCTCGGGATGTCTCCTTTGATAATGCACAAGCAAACCACTTGGCTCTGTGTGTGAATAAATGCACCATTCACAGTGATAACCAGCTTCTATCAAGCCATCCAAAAATGCCCATCTCAGAATGGATGTGACTGTGGCTTTCAGATTCGGGTGGTCTTTCTTAATATGCTTCCTCAACGCATAGAAGTAAGGTGATGTGTAGCTACACTGCCTGCATTTGAGGGCTCTCAGCTTTGACTTGTCCCTTTCAGTGCTGGAAGTGTGAGCAGGCATGCTGCCAGTCGATTTCTTCTGGCTGCGATCGCAAAGGCTTCTAATGGTGGCTGTATGCTGCCTAATCACATCTGCGTTAGCTTTGAAGTCACGATGCTTCTTTTGATAATGAATGAGCACGCCTTTCACGGTGCGATTTCCATAATCACAGTGTTGGCAGAAGAACATTTCATTCTCGGGAGGATTCACAGAGGTCTCAGATCCACCCCGGCTCAACTGCTGCATTGACACTGGCGGCCTCTGAATACCAGGTGGCAACTCACCAGCCCTCATCATCGCTGCGGTGGGGGGTGCCTGTCTGATATATTTGGCAGTGACCTTTATCTCTGGGTGCCTTTTCTGGTAGTGGACAAGCACTCCCACAACTGAGCGGTTGCTGTATGAACAGTGTTTGCAATAGTAGAGTTCAGTAGCGAGGTCTGGGGGTGGGGGTGGGGGAGGTGGAGGTTGAGAAGCCAAGTTGGACAATTTTGGGGAGACGGGCGTCCCCAACTCAAAAGACATCTGAGCCAGGGCAGAACCCCTATCAACAGAGACTACACGCATGGTCTTCTGAATTCTGAAATATGATGCTTTTTCTTCAGGGTGCTTTTTCTGGTAATGCACCAGAACTGAATGCATGTTAGGGCTTGCAAATGAACACACATCACAGTCATAAACAACCACAGTATTGACTGAAGGTTCCTTCTGATTTTCACATTCAGGACTAAAACTCTTGGCGGCACTTTTGTTAAAACCAGCTGGCACACCAGCCCCGCGAGCCACGGGGGTGGAGGTTGCCATAGTTTTTGGAGCAGAATTCAAGATCTCTCTCAGTGTCTGAGACTCTGTGTTCAGCCCTTCTTGCTGCTCAACAACGTAGCTTGAAAATATCATTGCATTGTTAATTTTCACTGTGGGATGCATTCTTTGGTAATGTGGCATCAGGCTTCTAACATTCGGGCTTGTATAAGAGCAGAAGCGGCAGCGGTAGATCAGATCAGAATGATCAAAGTTCAGTACATTCATAGCTTCAGGGTGATGCTCTCCATAATGCTGCTGCAGGTCTTCAAAGTTTGTGTAGTCAATGTAGCACTCAAGACACCGGTATACTGCGCTGTGATCATTTGGATCCAGGATATACCTAAAGCTGAATTTAATATAGGGATGCATTCGCTGGTAGTGGGTACTGACACTCCTGGCAGATTTGTTGCTGAAATCACAGTGTTTACAATAGTAAAGCCTGCCAGAGTCACTAAACTCTGAATTCTCATTGTTCTGATCGGTACCATACATGTTTGACTGGCTCCCCAGAACAGAGGCATTAGGGCTCTGATGGTCCTTCATGCTGACAGAAGAATAATAGTCTTCCTCATCTTCAGATAAAGTGAGCTCAATCTCTGCTCCATTGGTGGAACTGTAGTCATGCTGCATGCTTCTAAAGTTTGTCTCCTTCTGGGAATCATTAGCCTCTCTGCCCCACATTTGTTGGGGCGCATAAGAACTGGAAACTTCTATCATTGGTTCTGTTTGCTCTTCTTCTCTGTCTAACTCCACTTCGATCTCCACCTCATTGTCCTCCTCCTCTTCCTCATCATCCTCTACGTTAATCACAGCATCTTCCTGCTGTTTGTTTTGGTTAATTTTGCTCTGCAGGTTGCTCGCTATTTCATCAATTCTAGTTCTCTTTTTCACTGGAGACAGATCTAAAGGGAAGTCATTTGACACCTTCCGAGGGGCCTTCGCAACAAAGTTATTTTTAGATGAGAGCCCAAGGATGGAGGTCTGGCTCTTCTTCACTGTGCTGGCAGAGGCGTGAGCATCTGCTTCACTCTCTTGTGGCGTGTTTGATGGTGGTCCATCATATTTTGGCAAGTTGTCACAAAATGAATGCTTGTGCTGCTGATGAACTCTGAGGCCTTTCAAAGTTGTGGTGGAATAGTTGCACATTGTGCACTTGTATGGATGTTGTGAATGGGGCTGGGGTGACTGCTGTTGTTGCTGTTGCTGCTGTGGCTGCACCGGTTCCATCATCCCAGCTGACTTTCTGCCGTTTATATTTCCAGTCTCGTAAGACACTGTGCTGTCGTTCAAAGAAGAGGCGATGCTTTCAGTCTGAGAGTTCATAGTGTCCCAGTCTGATGTTGCTCCTGTGTGACATTGCTTGTGGGCACCAAGCTTTAATGAACTCTTGCAGGTGAAAGGGCATTCATCACACTTGTACACAGCTGTCTTGCCAGACAGGTGGATGTTCTCAATGTGACGGGAAATGCTTCGGCGGTGCATTGTCAGGAAAGGGCAAAAAGGACACTGGAACCTGTTCATATACCTTCTAAAGGGAATCCCCTTTGTTTCCAACAGTTTGTTGCCATCAGATCCCATCAGTTGCTCTGCAGACATTCCTGAGGTCTGGTGATCCATGGAGTTCAAGCCATTCTCGCTGTCCATTTCATTTAGCTCTTCATCTGAGCTGGAGTCATTTAGCATACTGCTTGTTTCCAGGTCAGCAGAAGAATTCGTCATATCAGCAATTCCATAGCGGGATCTGTCAGACAAATTAACCATGCTCGAGTTGTGAGGTGACTTAGGCTTCATTTGAGGGTAAGACACAGAAGAAAACTTGGAAGATGTAGAAGAGTTGGGCCTGATAAGGGAATTGCCCATAGAGCTCCTGAAGTTTGAGACATTAGCATTTGACATCTCACGTCCTGTTGTATTCATGGAGATATAGTTAGAGTTTGGAGAGGCATTCTGGGCACTCTTACTCTGTACATCAGGTGCACCAGTTCCATCTTGCTGCTGCCTCAGGCTTGACAGTATTTTTACCATGCTGCGGTGCTTCTTCATCATGTGGTCACACCAGCGCTCCCTTCGGGGGGTCTGGTAGCTGCACCATTCACAGCAAAAGTTGCCCCTAGACTTTGTCAGGGGCTTGACCATGGATTCCAAAATGCTCCGCTCCACCACCTCTGCAGGCAGCTCCTTGCAGGGTTCCTGCACTGGCACTGAAGCAGATGTTGATTCAGACATAGCAGCGGCAGCAGTAGGAGGAGTCGAACTCTCTTTCAGGTTGTTTTTGTGATACATTTTCTGGTGCTTAATAATCCTCGCGCGCCTCGGTGACTTGTAGGTGCAGAACTGGCAACTGAAAACTTTGCCAAACCCTTCATGCATCATGATGTTGTAACTTAGGGAACTAGCAGTTGCTGGCCCCACTGAGCTCCCCCCAGCCTGTGCTCCATGAACCTTGCGTGTGTGCTCTATGAGGAGGTTTTTGGAACGGAAGTAACGCACACAGAACTTGCACTGGAAAAACTTGTTGGTTGGTTTAGGATTTGGAGCCATGTGCTGACCATAGAAAGTCTGGCTCTGGCTATAGTAACTTCCAGTCCCCATCTGACTTGTTGCATTTTGCCCTAAAATAAGAATTAAGGTGTATATGTAAATAAATAAAATCAAATAAAGAGGCTTTTTCTCCACCCACCCTCTATGCATAAGAATGCAACCACATCCTGAATAGATAATAAACACACCAGGATTCCCTCACTTACTTATGGTGAGATCTACATATCTGGCAATGGTCAGCAAAATGACCATTATGCATAGTGTCTACATATATATGACTGTTGTGTACAGTTTGGGATAGATGATTTCCAGAATAATCTTCTTGGGGAAAAAAGAAAGCTAGTACACTAATAAAGTTGAAAATTTTGAGGTGGTTCATGGTAGCAAAGAACAACCATGAAAATCTGAAAACCAAAAAGCAATATGAAGAAATACATGAAAAGCATCTGGGAAATGAAATCATCCAAAAAATGTTTGTATTTACAGAAAAAGCCATGGTCAGAACCAATATGGCTGAAGCTAGACATCTGCTTTGCTGACACAGCAATAAAGATAACGCCAGTTTTTTAAATCACATTAAAAGTAGAAACTAAAACACACTGAAATAAGCCACATGTAAAATAGGGGGTTAGAGTTGAGATCTTAGAGTTGAGATCAATCTTAGAGTTGAGATTTACCTGCTATTTCATCTGCAATTGTAAATTCATCCTTTACAGAAGAAAATTCAACCTCAGTCTGGTTGCTAGCATTCATGGAACCAGACCTTGGCTGGCTAGGACTTTCCTCAGAGACATCAGTTGGTTGCAGAAAAGCAGTGTGAACATCCTGAATGTGAGCTTTTAGGTCTTCATAAGATGGAGCTCGAAAATCACAGCCATCACACTGCAGCACCTCCATGGTTCAGGGATGATCTTTTACATTAGAAAATTCTGCAAGAAAAACAGGGGAAGGAGAGAAGAAGAGATGTTTTACAGCAATGCCATTGCAACGACTCCTGAAAATAGGTAATACCAAGCTTATGATGACTCCATCATTTCCAGAGATTCTGCAAATACTGTGGCGTAAAACTCAACCTTTGCTTACCATATTAAGAGGCATCAATTCAGATTCATATAAAGTCCTACCTAGGTAGCTCACAAGTTGCTGACTCAACGCTACAAACACTCAGCTTTCTGACGAGTTACTAATGATTCAATCATCGACTTTGTCCTCTTGGCTTTTCCATTACACAGGATAGGGCTGTTCAGAAGTTTGTCTTGTTCAAAGACCACAACCCATATGCTAGAAAAACAGTACATTACTCCCAGTCATGCACTGAAATTTACAATCAGAAGACAGTGGCTTCTACCTTTATGAGACCTACTGTAACCTTCCTGGAAGTTGCCAAGTCCTGCCTGTTTCACTACCATAGATCAAAAGCCTTCATAGGAAGAAACTTGCTTTTCTTCTCAACATCCTATCAGTCCTGACATTGGTGGAAAACCTAGGCATAACTGCAAGATGAGATGCAGCTACATAAACCCAAGGTAGAATGCTTTGCTCTGCCCTACTTCCACCAAGCTTTGTAAGGGCATCTCCATGCTTTGTTAAAATGTTTACAGTTTCATTTTAGTCTATTCTGGGGACATGACCTTTGTGCGTTAGCACTCCAGGGGATGAAGAGGGCTGGAGGAAGAGAGGGAGAGCAACGGGAATAGGAATACTGCAAAATTACAATGGAAATAGGAGTTACAAAGACTCAGAGACCTCATGACTTCCTTGATTTATCCAAAAGCCCTACATACCTTCAAGTACAAAGCAACATAAGATATGGTAACATGAAGTATGGTGATTCAGCTTGCGACCAGTCCTGCAACAGAGTTGTATGTTTCCGCACCGCCATGAAGGAGAGAAGACACAAAGCACAAGCAAGACAAAAGCCTTAGACCCTCCTACCCTGTGCAGTACTTAGGCACAAGAGCAACCTTCCTATGTTAATACAGGAATTACTTCTTTAAGCTTCCATGTGCTGCGCTGGGAAAGGATAAACCGGGTGTTTCAGAGGTCCAAGGCATGAGGGCAGCCCAAAGCACTGAAAATTCCATGCGTTTATTGTACGTAGAGCTTATTGTATTGTAGAGCATGAAGCTACTTCCACAGCAAAGAGAAAGCTCCAAAACATTAGGGCACAGAAACAAGAGAGGGCACTGCATCAGGATTTTATACGAAAGAATGCTTCTTCTGATAGCCTGCTAAAATAAACTTCTACCAAGTCAAATTCTGGACAGTCTGAGCACAGAGGCTCTTCACATATTTACCTACATTACATTGCAGGCTGCACTGTATCCTTTCTCCCCCCCCACTCCCTCCCACCACCAATAAAGAAAATGAACGCTGCACCAGCTTCTTTTCAGCTAACAAAGTTACAATAATCGAGATACTCAAGCTTTTATGTGCAAGCACCAGACCAAATTGTGTGGAAGAGGTTGCTATCTGCTCTGGATCAAATTACAGCAGTGAGTGAAGCCCCACCCCACGTCTCCTTTAGCACAGTCCATTAGACCTGAAAACAAATTTTTCCATGGAGCAGACGACTCCTGCATTTAGAGCACTTCACAGAAAAGCAGATCATCCAGTTTTCACTACCCATCCCCCAAGCTTAGTCCTTTCATCTCAGCCAAACAAGCCACAGCTCTGCTGAATGTGTTTATCACACTTTCAAGAGATATGAGCCCCTGCGTCACTGAAGCTTTAAGACTCACTAAGCTGCCCTAGTCCTCTGAGCTTTGGGAGCAGCCATTTTAGCTCAGACAACTCCTGCACTCAGAGGCTCAGAGCTTCTCGCCTGTGCACAACATGGCCTCACTTATCTCAGCTTCATCTAAAGCACACCAGGCTTTTTCTTTTTTTCCCTTTTTTCCTCCTCCTCCTTGGGTGATGCTTGAAAAATCAGCGTCCCCAGAACATATCTCCCCTTCTCCTGCATGACTTGCCCCCCAAGTCATGTCGCTGTTGCCCCCCTGCACTGCCCAAGCAGCACCTTCCCTCCCTGAGCAGATCTCCCGCATCTCCTAGGGTTGGTTCCCCTGTCCCATGGATGACAAATGTGACGGTTCGTTCCAGAAACAGCATTACAGCATCAAGACACTGGTCCAAGCTGTCCTACAGGCAGAGGCAACACACAGCTGAGCCTCCCAGGAGGAGGGGAGGGGGAGGAGGGGGAGGCAGGGAGGGGGCCTCCAGCCTGCCCTGTCCCTGGGGAGCCCTCCTGCTTGGCGCAGAAGACACACAACCCCACTCCCCTGCCAGATTCCAAAGTCTAATGACCTTTGTTAATCACCAGCCAGCCTGTCTGCATCAGCAAACCCTGCCAGCAGACACACCCTTCACACAAAGGCTGTAGCTATGCCTTTTAAGAGAGGTTCTCTGAAAGCTCCATTGTGTAGAACAGAGGAAAAACAACACACACACACACACACCTCCCCCCCCCCCCCCCCCCCCCCCCCCCCCCCCCCCCCCCCGGAAAACTTCAGACCCTTTAGAAACACCACCACAAAAAGCTTTCAGCTCTGTCTCTTTTGGAAACTTCAGGCCAGCTTACCAAATAGAAAACCAGAAGGGAGAGCAAACCTGAGGTTCTGAAAAAAGATAATCCTGGCAGCTTCAAGAAGTAAAAACCACCACCATCTCCAGCTGTCACTACACTGATGCTTGGTGAAGGTATCCTCAAGGATGCTGGTTGCTGTCTAGACAGTCTTAAACCAACAGTACCCTTCTGCTACAAATCAGAAGGAAGAGTTGAGAGATCGTTAATAGCTGCTGATTACAAAAACTGATGGAGACTTTGTAATGGGTTCCAGCTTGAATCTCAGCAGGGTCTATATAACAAAGGCAGCACCAAGTCAGAGAAGAGGTTAATCTTACTACAGCTTATGAGGAACAAACATCAGGTACAGCTGAAGGGACTTCAATTTGATGTTTCCACCATGCATCACACTGAAAGCAAGATGAAGCATTTTGTAAGGAACTCTGCTCTACCATTTCCACATTTTTCTTTAAAATTCAGGCATTGCACAAAGGCAAAGAAAAACACAAACTGCTAGTTTGAGCTCATATATCAAAAGAAACTGAAACGCAATGTGTGTCTTTCTCCCTTTTTTGTCTGCATGGGATATGGAACTGAGAGAGACCCACCTACCCACCAGCAAAGAGCATTTTCAAGTGCAGATGTTAATACACTGGCAAGACGCACACCCCAAGCAAAGGGACAAAGCAAGGTTTGCATGTTTCCATCATGACCAGCTAAGGCAACACATTCTATAATCCTTTAAATTTTCAGACAGCACATTAAGAAAATTTAGAGGGGAATGGAGGTAGAGTGAGAGACGAGTTACCAGATCCACTAACTCAAAAGAAGCATAGGAAGTCTGGAAAAAAAACCCAAAACTAAACACAACCACCATGAAATGAATCCATAAATCACACAAGCCCTTTAACATATTCACAACCAATCTCGAGACCACATTGCCCACAGATAATGTGACTTCTAAAATACCCTTACTAATGCGATGCTAACCTCGCCAAACAGATTATTAAAATGCCAGTCTGACTAATTTGCATTTACAACCTCTTCTTAAACTATATGGCTTTAATGTTTAATACGGAGAAGAGGTATTCTCATTTTCCTTATGAGCGGAAAGTTCCCAAAATGTTGGGCAAAAGAGATTCTCAAAGCCACAGTTTTAAAGACCCAAGGTAAAGTCTCAAATTGTCTTCGACATCCTTCTCTACACTCAAAAATGTGTGAAAACATCAGAGACACAGTTGCATTAGATTTCTAGGTTTTTAAAAATCCAAAACAAAAGAGAATTGTGCTTGTTGAACAACAGTCATTACAGAATTTGGCAGCAGCCAAAGTAGTACAAATAATTATGTTTAAGTTTGGTTTTAAAGCTTCAAAATACAAAATTAATTGTGAAGCCCAAAGCACTGACCTCAAAATTGAGCTTCTGTGGTTTGACTACCCATCCGTTATATTTTGAGATGGAGTCAGCAGCGCTTCTAGAAGTTAATATGCACATGCACAACCACAACTGAAAAGGTCAGTCAGACCACACACACTATGTGAACTTCCATCTAAGTCTTAGTAACTTCACATGTAAAACAAAGAAATCTCCAGTTCTCCAAGCCTTCCTCTGGTCAGATGATCAGAAGCATCTTCATCCCTACCTCATACATGCAGGTTGCACACACAGCTTCCATTTTACTCTGTGCCAAGGTGGAGCTGAAAGAAATTTCTTCACCAAAAGGGTTATCAAGTACTGGAGCAGGCTGCCCAGGGAAGTGGTTGAGTTACCATCCCTGTATGTGGTGCTTAGGGACATGGTTTAGTGGTGGACCTGGCAGTGTTAGGTTAACGGTTGGACTTGATGATCTTAAAGGTCTTTTCCAACCTAAATGATTCTATGATTCTATGATTCTGTTACGCATCCCATCGCACTGGCAGAAACACTGCCACACCCCTTTCAACTGGACAAAGTCCCCCTAGAGGTGCAGTATGTGTCAGGGCCCTGAGGGCACCCACAGGCCTCACTCTTCCTCAACAGCCCTCCTAGGGCTCCTCCAGAGCCCCGGACCCCATTTCACCCCCTGGCGCCATCAGCCCCTGCCCCAGGAATGCCACAGGAGGGCCGGTCTCCAGCTTCGCACAGCCCTGCCCTGGGCCCCGCTGAGCCAGGCCCACCTGCAGGCCTATGGCCTGGCCCAGCCCTAGGGAGGTTCCCAATGCCCGGGGCTGAGGTTGGCCCTCAGCCTGCCCTGCTCCCGGCTGGGGCGGTGGGACAGGCCCAGGCTGCCAGGCCCTGATCTGTCTCTTCCACGGGGAGCCCCGGTGGCTCCCACGCAGCACGTTGGGTCAAAGCAGATCGGCATAAACAGAATGTCTTAGCAG